TTGGACAAACGACTTATCCCCAGGGTAAATCAAATTTTAACACAATGCAATATTATATATTCATATGTATACAAATGACAAATCCTTTAATGTTTGGTGTAATTTGACAGACCAAAATCGTACATTGACTGAACAAATTAAAGTTTGGTTTTAAATATCAAAATTTCATCTCAGATGTGAACAGGAAGCAACCAATCAATAGAAGCATACCGCAGAATTTTCAAAAGAAAGAAAAACTGTAACGATTCTAGAGTTCTTAGAGAATTTAGGGAAGAAGAGAGTAGAAGGTGTAAGAAGTGAAGAAGAGTTCTGAACTTGCATTAGGTTTTCGATGCCTTTACAGTTCGAATTCACAAGCTTAATAACAACTGATTCACTAACTACTCAAGCGTCAATCGAAGTCGTAAGGCTAACAGCTAATCTAACTGCCACTTAATCAAACGGTGTCATTCTGGCCTTCTCAGCTTAGCTTCCTAACTGTTCCTTTATTCAAGCGACGTCGTTCAGGGCTTCCTTCTTTAGTCAATTGCTGGGATGATAACATTGCCTCTCCCATTCAAAGATCCTTGTCCCCAAGTATGGGGTGCTATGCCACACCTGAGCTAGAGAACTCAGGTGCACAGGCTAACTAACTAAAATCCTCAAATAACATCAATACATAATCATGGCACGCAGGCCGAAAAGGAACTAGCTACTCTACGCCTCGGATCTCTAGCATGCTCTGGGATCTACTCATCTGTGCCTGAAAGCCAAATATATCTGTTCAGCGAGAGATGTTGGTAACCCACTCCAACGCGTTGAAATACAATATAGGTATTTATATATAGATATAGATATAGGAAAACCATTTTGAAGCAGGAAGATATATATTTAGGAGACACTAGCTTTAAAACCGAGAATAGACTCAGCAAGTAGGGACAAACACATCAAACAATGATAAACAGTTAAGTAGAGATAGCATTATAAGGAATACGCATCTAAGGTCACAGAACACTTTTTGATTCAAACACATCATCATTCAATCATCATTTATATCACATAATCGTTGATGGCGCCACGGGACCAATCGCATGCCCCCGAACATGAGGGTTAATGCTTATAGCATTAACACAGCTCCGCAGCACCCTACCTCAGTACCATGGTATGAGGGGAGTTGATCGCAACCAACCCTTTGAGAACCGCTGACGAACTCAACGTCGGACCACGATCCGACACACCGCTGACGCGCACAGTCTGTGGACCGCGATCCCCTTTACAAGGGGGGACTTACGACCCTACACACCGTTGATGCGTACAGTCGGTGGACCGTAGCGGATCAAGCCCGACACACCGCTGATCTAGACTCAGTCGGTGGGCGAAGATCCTCGGAGACTACAGCCCTACACACCGCTGTCCCATCACTCGGTGGATCGCAACCAGCCGTAGCCCTACACACCGCCTGATTACTCAGGTCGGTGGACTACAGCCTTCCTCGGCTTATTGGCCCTACACACCGCTTGGCGCGTCCAGGTCGGTGGGTCATAGCACCGAGGCCCATGTGGACCGCAGCCCAAGAAGTGAATCAATTCGGCATTTACCCAACTTCTGAGCCTTAGCTCAGGAACAATCCATTTGGCCTTTAGCCACTTCCGAACCTTTAGTCCGGGAACAATCCATTCGGCCTTCAGCCGACTTCCAAACCTTAGTCCGGGAATCACCCAATTGGTCTGTAACCAAAATGGGGGATCATGCAACACATAACACATAGGAGCACGTAATAGCATATTGGGAGGGGAAAGACATATAAATAAACTTACGTGTGGTCATTCACATACTAAGAATAGTCCTAAGGGTTCATACAACTTCCACTTAGGTCAACGGGTTACCAATTCCACTAGCATGCAATTCCTAAGACTCATTTAACCTACGAATGGTACCCGAAATATCAAACTAGACTCAAGCACGACAAACGTGGTCCGTTGGGACACCATGGGGGAGCGGGGAGCATCAAACGGGGAAGCCAAAAACCCGGGGTGGGGTACAGACCAGCGGGTAGCCGGTGGGTGGGGGTCACTCGCCGGCTGCCAGGCCAGAGGGCACTGTTCCGAGCAGCGGGTTGCCGGCGGGCAGGCAACTGCCCTGTGGCTGCCCGCTGCCGGGCGGTGTCCTTCGGGCAGCGGGTAGGTGGCGGGTTCCCCTACCCCACCTACCCCCCACTGACTCTTTTCTCATATATTCGTCCCGGGAACCTTTGTGGAACCCGAAACCAGGCTTAGAAACTTTTAAACGCGAATAACGACACCACGTAGGTAATTAACGGATCAAAAGCAAGAATCACGTAGGACTCATCCTATTACGACTTCTTAATATAAACAACACCCGAACATGCGAATTCCCACCCAAATATATATCAAGAACATCCCAACACAAATTGTAACACCCCGTGTTACGGCCCCTAAAACCATTTAATTAATCAATCAATAGCCCAAGAGAAGGAATAAATCATAATGATTAATTAGGG